GGAAATGTACTGTTGGAATTTCAATTGGGATCTCATTAAATCTACATAACAGTTTTAGAAGTATGGCTATTTTTAATATGTTGGTTCTTCCTACCCAGGAGCAAGGGTTGTCTTTCCATTTTGTTATATCCTCTTCAATCTCTTTTTTCAGGATGCTGTAGTTTTCAAGGTAGAGGTCTTTTACTTCCTTCATTAGACTGATTCCAAGATATTTCTTTTTTTTCTTTTTTGGATGCTACTGTGAAAGGAATTGTTTCCCGATCTTCTCTCTTATTGAGTATGTTATTGGTGTACAAGAAGGGTATTGATTTTTTTTTGAGTGTTGACCTTGTATCCAGCTACTCTGCTGAACCTTTCAATTAAATCTAGAAGTCTTTCAGCAGAGTTTTTTGGGTCTTCTATGTAGAATATCATGTCATCAGCAAATAATGACAGTTTAACTTCTTCCTTTTCTATCTTTATTCCTTTATCTTGTCTAATTGCTGTGGCTAATATTTCCAGAATTGTATTGAACAGAAGTAGTGAGAATGGATACTCTTATCTTGTTCCTAATTTTAGTGTGAAGGATTTCAGTTCTTATATCAGTTAGTATGATGTTGTTTGTTGGTTTTTCATAGATAGCCTTTCTATCAGATTGAGATAAAGACAATCTGTTCCAGTTTTCTGTAGGGTTTTTGTCATAAATGGGTGTAGAATTTTGTCAAATGCTTTCTATGTATCTATTGAGATGATCATATGTTTTTGTCCTTGACTCATTTAATATAGTATATTACATTTATTGATTTATGTATCTTCAAACATCCTTGCATCCCTGGGATAAATCCCACCTGGTCAGGGTGTATAACCTTCTGTAGTCTGTTTGCCAGTATCTTATTGAGGATTTTTGCATTTATGTTCACTAGGGAGATTGGCCCGTGTGTAGTTTTCTTTTTTGGCTGGATCTTTCTCTGCTTTTGGAATTAAAATAATGCTTGCTTCCAGGAATGAATTTGAGAAAAAACTTTATTCTTTATAATGGTATCAGAAAATACAAAATGCTTGGTGATAAATTAATATAGTTTGTATTATAATACTTCAAAACACTGCTGAAATAAATTAAGATAGTTTAAGTGGGGGAAAATAATGCTTACAGCTTTGGAGTTTCAATAATCTTAGATGCAGTTCTTCAAAGGTTTATGCATAGGTTCAGCAGAACCCAACAAAAGCTCAGTAAGCATCAATAAAATGTTACAAGCCAATGGTATAATTCACTTAAAATGCAAAGTATTTTAAATAGCATCAAATGATCTGGAAAAAACTGAATTAAAATTGCAAGACTTGAACTATAATAAATAAAAACTTAATAAAGATACAATAATTTAAACAGTGTTGTGTTAATGTAAAAAAGAAATAGATCAATGCAAGTAAATATATTTCCCATAATAGAGGAATGTATATATAAGCAATTGTTCATTGCACTTGTGTGAAGGCAGTTCAATGGGGAGAAGCAAATCTTTTAAACAAATATCACTAAAATTGCTTGATAAACATAAACTTAACTACTTAAAAATAATTATGAACAAAAATTAAAACAAATATGTCAAAGAACACAATGAAATTAAGTTAGGCAAATGTAAATAGTTTACTATATTAGAAAACAGATTACAATTCTAAAAACTATAACTGAAGTGGCAGGAAGCTCACATTCTACCAGTTGCAGCATGGCTCAAAAAGGATAATGGGGAGCCAGGTGTGGTGGTGCACTCCTGTAATCCCAGCCCTCGGGAGGCTGAGGCAGGAGGATCGCTGTGAGTCCGAGACCAGCCTGGACTATGTAGTGAGTTCCAGGGCAGTCTGAACTACATAGTGAGAACTGTCTCAAAAAAAAAAAAAAAAGACAATGAGGACAATGAGGAAAATATTTGACCTTGCTCATATTTTTTTCTATTTATGTGAATTTTCAATTACATTAATAGAATACATGGCTGATGTATTGCTATACTTTTGGGATTTGATGTCTGAGGAATTCAGCTTTCTCTTGGGCTTTTCTTTCCTCATGCATCTAAGGATGGCCTATTATCCTTAGATCACTGAAATGCTGACAACTCTATAAATTTCAGAAGTTCATATTTTCTGTGTCACATCTCAGCTGAGGACACATCATTGTCTTATATTAAAGCTGCTTTCTCAAAATGTTCCAGGTTTACCCAGGAGGAAACTCCTTCCATTGCAAAGATGTAAGACTGTAAGTGTCTGTTTATAATGAGCACAGTAAGTTCTAACACCTTGTCAAGATCATATTGGCTAAATCTCAGAGTTAGATCGATGCCTTATTCTAAAAGTTAGTATTACATTGGCAATGTCCTGCAGAAGCGACTGACCCTTCTCTACTGAAACATGATGCAGATACATGTAAAGCCTTTGCAAAAGAGGTTAAGGGCAAAATTTAAAGATATCAGGCTCATATGGTAATTGAGAAGTTTCTTATCAATTAGAGAAACTTCCATATTATCATTAGTATTAATGTGTTGAATGCTCTTTTATAGCATATCGTATTTTATTTTATTCTAGAATCTAACTGTTAAAATAGCAAAAACAATTCTTTTCCTGTAAGCCAAAACTCACTTTTCCCTAATTATATCACACAAATATCAAACAAGGAAAAACATTTACTAGAAAATGGGGAAAACTAGATATAGAATTGCCATATAACTCAACAGTCTCACTTCTGAGTATTTACCAAAAAGTTTTGAAATCAGTATATCAAAGAGATATTTGAGCACCCATATTCATTGTAACATTATTGCAATAGCCAAATTATAGAATGAGCCTAAATATCCATCACCAGATGAACTGACAAAGAAAATGTGAAGTCTCTCTCTCTCTCTCTCTCTCTCTCTCTCTCTCTCACACACACACACACACACAGATGCTATTCAGCCTTAAAAAGCAAAAAAAAAATCTACATTTTATGATAACATGAATGGAATTAGAAAATATTATTCTAAGTGAGATAAGCCAAATACAGAAATTCAAATACTCCATGTTCTCACATATGTACCATAGAAGTAGAGAGTAGTATGGGGGTTGCCAGACCATGCAAATTCAGAAAAATGGGGAGGTGGTAGCCCAAGGGATCAAAATCTGAGATGGAAAGAGGGAATAAGTGTAAATAAGCCTAATTTTTAAATTAATTACACAGAACACTGAATATAGCTAATAACTGAAAGCTGTACATTTCAATATCATTAAAAGAACAAATTTCAAATAATCACAAAAATGTGTTAAATGTTTGGTATGATGAGCATCTTAATTTATTAAATTTAATCATGCCACATTGTTTTCAACAATTATAACATCGTTTTATACTCACAAATATTGTATACACAACTATAACTTCCTAATATAAAATAAATAAAAATATAGCTTAAAAAAGAACAGGAGGCTACATCAAAGACAAAAAGCCACATGATGTCATGATGTAATAAACCGAGTTTTCATAGAAAACATCAGGTCAGGTACAAATAGCTCACATAGTTTCAAGATGGAGATATTGTGCTGAACAATTTGGAAGTCTCATCTAAAAGCTCAATGTAAAACTAGCTGTATTTCCTTGCCTGTTTATGACATTAATTTACTGAACTATGTTATGGCTATATTTATATAATTTTATGCTGCACTAAATTATATTCATCATAAACAAAAGATAATTTATTCCATCGTAAGGAAGTATGTGTGTATTCAAACACGAATGTGAGAAATATCTTAAAGGAAATATAACTTTTTGTAAAAAATTGTATCTTATTGGATTACCACAAGAGAATTTTATTTTCTTTTAGCTTTTTCTGCATTAAAGGGTAATTATAACAAGAATGAATTATAATTGATATAACTAAATTGTTTGCATTTTAGTCTAAAGGTATCATTTTAAAAATGGAATATGATTTGTCATTTTTTACTTGCTCAAAACTCAATAGCAATTTTGCCATGATGTCAAAATACTAAGAATGAAACTCCTTGCAAAATAAATAATTTCTGCAATGAGAAAATATTCAGGATATAAGGAGACATTCTGTGCACCTGAAGTACAGGACATAATGGAATTAAAGGCAGGAGAAGATATGCAGTTGGCTTGAATCACACTCAAGGAGCAAACAAGAAACTCAGCCTTTATTCAAGTGAAAGCATTTAGATGACTTGTTTTAAGCAAGGTAATGCTAATTCTAGAAAGATCAGATTGATGACAAGGAGAAAAAAGTATGAAGCCGTGAGAAACAAGTGCAGTGAGGCAGCTTACAGAGACATGGTACTGAGCAGAAGGGGCGCAGATGGGTGAAGGAAAGGAAAAGCATTGCTGTGGAGAGGGCAGTCTGATTTGACAGTTCCAGGCTTGGCTGGTAGGGCCAGAGGATAAATAGTATATGAAAAGTAGCAGAATTTAAGGAAAGACACTAAGTTGGAACATAATAATAAGCATTCCATGGCAGTTCCTTCAATATGATGGATAGTAAATTCTTATTTATTAAACAGAATAAAATTGCGATTCAGGGATCATAGAGTTTCAGGGAAACAGAATGAGTTCTACAGCCGTGTTATACCACCTTGTACATGCCGGTAACAACGCTGTACTGTACATTAAGAGTTGTGGAGAGTAGATCTCACATTAAGTATTCTTGCCACATTTATTTTTAAGGAGCACCTTATTATTTACACCTAAATCCTGTCTGTATAGTTCCCCTAGGATTCAACTAGCAAAAATTTAAAAACAGGATGTGTCTCCACCACGTGTCTCCATCTACCTCCCAGTGAAGGTAACTGTGACTTTAGATTTACCTTCTGTCGGTACTACTCCAGAACCATCTAATTTATCTCTACAAACTACAAGGGATGGAATGCAAAATCCATTTTGCTATACCATTGAATGTTAGGCCATTGAAATATAGTATATAGAAGACTCTAAAATTAATGTTTAATGAAGATTATACTCAGAAAACATCTCTGAAAACATTCCTCCTCTCGTGAAAATGTCTCCATCCCTGAAGGTCTCCAACAGCTCCAGATCCCAGGTCTCTGAGTTCATCCTCCTGGGCTTCCCAGGCATTCACAGCTGGCAGCACTGGCTTTCTGTGCCACTGGCTCTGCTGTACCTCTCAGCAATTGGGGCAAACATCCTCATCCTTGTCACCATCTGCCAGGACCCTTCCCTGAAGCAGCCCATGTACCTTTTCCTGGGCATCCTTTCCGTAGTGGACATGGGCCTGGCCACCACCATCATGCCAAAGATCCTGGCCATCTTCTGGTTCAATGCCAAAGTCATTAGTCTCCCTGAGTGTTTTGCTCAGATCTATGCCATTCACTGTTTTGTTGGCATGGAATCTGGTATCTTCCTCTGCATGGCTTTTGACAGGTATGTAGCTATTTGTCACCCTCTTCACTATGCAGCAATTGTGACCAATTCCTTAATCTTAAAAGCCACTGTGTTTATGGTGCTTAGAAATGGCCTGTTTGTCATTCCCGTGCCTGTGCTTGCAGCCCAGCGTAATTATTGTTCCAAGAATGAAATTGAACATTGCCTGTGCTCTAACCTCGGGGTCACCAGCCTGGCCTGTGATGACAGGTGGGAAAATAGCATTTGCCAATTGGTCTTGGCATGGCTTGGAATGGGGAGCGATCTAGGTCTCATCATATTGTCCTATGCCTTGATTCTGCACTCGGTACTGAGATTGAACTCGGCTGAAGCTGTATCCAAGGCTCTGGGCACTTGTAGCTCCCATCTCATCCTCATCCTCTTCTTCTATACTGTGGTCGTAGTGCTTTCAGTAACCCACCTGGCAGAGACGAAGACTATGTTGATTCCAGTTCTACTCAATGTGCTGCACAATGTCATCCCTCCTTCCCTCAACCCTATGGTCTACGCGCTCAGGACCAAAGAACTTCGGGAAGGTTTCCAGAGGTTGTTTCGTTCAGGTTTGCAAAAGAAATAAGACTTAAGAAACCTTCATCATGAGGTGCAAGAAATTTAGCTTCTTCTCAGCTATGTAGAATTCCAAAAGTAGTAGAGGAATAAGTGAACACCTTTGATATTGCCTTTTTATAGTTCTATATAAACAACTCTGAAAGCTTTCAAAATGGAAAAAAAAAAAACCTGAAACCTTCACAGATACTCCAACTGGCAAGAATTAAATACATAAATTTTTGTAAGAATATGGAAGGGCTATCTCGCAACTCAAGCAAATGGGTTGGAAAACAGCAGTACCTATCCACGGTCACTTCCGTCTTCCTTTTACCCTCAGGAAAAGGAGCTAAAGGCTTTCTGATATTAGTCTCTGGGTACCTAGCATCCATTTTTGTTTGGATAACCCTACTTTCTACTCAGTTAAGAGTAAATTTATTAAATTCTCTTCAAAATTCTACTTGTGTGTGCCTTTTGTTTCTTCTCGAGACCCTGACTGACCTGTTAGCTTCCTTTGTAAACCTCCATCACCTCTACTACCCTGTGCCTCTGCTGCTGACAGTACAGCCTAATATAGGGCAAGCAGCTTGAACAGATGTGAAGATCTTTAGATGAACAGAAAAAAGACAGCTAAATGTAAAGATACAATGCAGTGTAAAGTATAACATATTAAATCTTGTGTTTCTTTTTTCTTATTGGTACTTTTCAAATATACATTATGATCACATTCATCCCTGGAAATTTGTACCTGTACATAATATGTATTAATTCTTCTTTTCCCCTATTCCCCCTCCCTCCCTTCAACCCCTCCACCCCTCACCATTTGCAAAACACTTCGTTTCTGTTTTTCTTTCTTTTTTTTTTTCACCTTTGAGTTTATTGGTACATTTTAGGGATACAGTACAGTTATATTCATTGTTGGGATCTTTTACCTCTACATGACAAGTCTTGGTTCTCATTTTTTCCCCTTACCCCTCCCCCCCTTTACTCCCTCCTCCCCTCCCCATCTACAAACACTTTATTTTCATCTTCTCATTATCTCACATTTTTTTCTTTTCCCTTATTACCCTTCCCCTACCCAATCCACCTTCCCTACACCTTTAGCTCCTTTCTTCCCATTTCTAAATGTCAGTAATCTTATTAGGATCTAATGTATTACTGCAGATTATTCACACCAGGGAAACTATTCGGTATTTACACATGTGTCTTTTCTCATAGTTTTTCTTACCCTCCTTTCCTTTCCTCACCCCCCCTTTTCCCTGTCCCATTTGGGTTTTTCTTTTCTTTTTTAAAAATCCTTTTATTTTATTCTTTTCTCAAGCTTGTAGACATTCTAATTTCTTTACATTTGCATCTAAGTTTTGATGTCAGATTTCTTGTGCCCCTAAAATATATTGCTAGAGGTTTTGTGTTTTGTTTTGTTTTAGAACTGTATTAAGTCTACAAATCAAATAGGGAAGGACTGACAGTTTTTATATGAGCACAGCATACTTCTACATTTATGTAGGTCTGTTTCGATTTCCTTCAGTACTATTTAGATCCCAGCATACAGATCGTGTACTTGTATGTTATATTTATACCTACCTGTTTCTTTGGAACTATTGTAAATAGTATTTATTATTGCATGTTCCTATTGTACATTGCTAGACCATGGCCTTTCAGTATTCACAAGAGAGCAGGAAACCCCACAAATACCAAAATCCACAGACACTCATTTTCCTTTAAAAATGGCGTAATATTTGTATACAACCTATACACATACTTCTGTATGTTTTAAATAATCTCCATGTTATTTTTATAGCACAAAAGACAATGTAAATGCTATATAAATAACTGTTATGTTATATTCCTTAGGGAACATGACAAAGAAGGGCTTAGTTCAGCCATAAATTTTTTTCACGTAATTTTAATCCATGGTTGGTTGAATCTTCAGATGATGAACCTGAAGAAATAGAAGGCCAAATGCATAGAAAATAAAGGCTGGGTGTGTGTGTATCATATCCTGTGACCTTGCTAAATTCTAGCTTTTTGAAGATAATTTGGGACAATCATGTTGTCTGTCAAGGGAAGCAGTTTTATTTCTTCTTTCCCAATCTCCTCTTCTTTTACTTCCTTTTGTTGCCATATTAATGCTGACCAGGATTTCCAGTAAAATGCTGAACTGGGAAGAGGTTTATAGTAGACATTCTTGCTTTGTTCTTGTTCATGGAAGAGAACTTTCATTCCTTCACCATTATGATGTTAGCTCTAGTTTGTTTTATGTTTTTCCTTTTATGTACAGTGGAATTTAATTTGCTAATTTTTTTGAAGATTTCTGCAGTATATTCATGAGGTAAATTGGTCAACAGTTTTCCTTTTACTTTATTGTTTACTGCTTGTCTGGTTTACATAATCAGGTTAATTCTGGCTTCATAAAGAAAGGTGGAAAGTGTTTCATCATCTTCTAAATTCTGATCCACTGAACTGACTGCTTTCCAGGGTCATTGGTTGGTTTCCCCACTATTAACAGATGGGAACACATTGCACTGAGGTCCAGCAGGTGGCTCAGCTCCTTGTCTGTCCCTTTCAGGTTCATCTTTGACCACTCCTCATGGGTCAAACCTCTAGCAAAACTTCCCTTGGGCAGTACATGGGCGGGATCAGCAGCCGCCTTACTCCAGGCGGGCTGCCATCCCCTGACAGAACTTGTGGGTCTCCTCAGATGGACATTTTTTTTTCACTAAGGGGCCTCAGAACCAGGCTCTGCTCACCCCCTGGATTTTTCTTATTATTTCACATTATCTATTATACACTTTGGTCCTCATTTACACTTTTCAGTTTCTTACACCAGAGAAACCATTTGGTATTTATTTGTGTGCTCTATTTTACTTGAGTATGGCCTCAATGTCCATCCATTTAGCTATGAATGTGTCTAGTTTATCATTCTTTATGGCTGAATAATAATCCATTTTATAAAAATAAAACCAGTTGATGGACATTTGGGCTGTTTCCAAGTTTTAGCTTTTGCAAACTGTGTAGCTATAAATGTGGGTGCACATATATCACTGTGATATGATGCTTTTAATTATTTTGGGAAGATACTCAGCAGAGGAATAGCTGGTTCACAGGGAACATCTAATCCTAGTTTCTTGAGGAATCTCCATACTGATTTTCACAGTGGCTACACCAGTCTATACTCCCACTAGCAGTGGAGAAGGGCTCCTTCTTCCCCAAAACCTTGCCAGTCTTTGTTATTGGTCCGCCATTCTTTCTGGAGTGAGCTAGAATCCCAGCATTGTTTTCATTTGCACCTCTCTGATGACCAGTGATTCAAATGCTTATTTGCTGTTTCTACTTCTTTGTATGACAAACATCTGTTCATTTCAGATGCCCATTTTTGGTTTGGGTCTTTAAATTTGGGAGGTCTGATTTTTGTAAGTTCTGTATATGTTCTAGAGAGCAGATCTCTGTCTGAGAAACAGCTCGTAAAAATTTTTCCCACATTGTGGGTCATCTCTTCATTCTGTGGGTGGTTTTTCTTGCTCTTTAGAAGCTTTTTAATAAGATGAGGTCCCAGGTGTTGATTCTTTGTGTTAGTTCATGTGCAACTGAAGTTTTGTTGTTGAAGTCTTTTCCTAGGCCAGAGTCTTCAAGATTTCTACTTAACCTCTCTTCTAGCCTGTTTAGTGTTTCTGTTTTAATATTTAGATATTTGATCCATTTCAATTTTATTTTAGTGCATGGTGAGAGATATGGGTCTAGTTTCAAATTTGGGCAACTTGAAACACAATTTTTCCAGAACCATTTACTAAAAAGGCTTTCTTTCCTCCAGTGAGAGTATTTTCGCTTCTTTGTGAAAGATGAGATATCTAAATATGTCTGGAGTTGTTTCTCAATCTTTTAATCTACTCCACTGATCCTTGGGTCTGTTTCTTTGTCAGTACCATGCTGTTTTTATCACAGTAGATTTGTGGTATAATTTCAAGTTGCAGATTATGGTACCTCCCTACCTTGTCTTTGTTGTCTCTCCTGGTTCCAAATGAATTTTTGGATTGTTTTCTCTAGTTATGGGAAATACACTGATGTAATTTCAATTGGAATTGCATTGAACCTATATAGCAGTTTTGGAAGTATGGCCATTTTGATTATATTGTTTCTTCCTACCCAAGAAGAAGGGATGTATTTTCATTTTCTGATATCTTCTTATGTCTCTTTTTTTCAGAGTGCTATATTTTCCAGAGCAGAGGTCTTTTACTTCCTTCCTTAGGTTGGTTCCTAGGTATTTCTTTCTTGGAGATGCTATTGTGTAAGGAGTTGTTTCTTCAGTTCCTCTCCCAGTGAATCTTCTGTTCATGTACAGGAAACCTATTGATTTTTGAGTGTTGACCTTGTGTCCAGCTACTCTACTGAATTTGGCTATTAAGTCCAGAAGACTTTCGGTGGAGTTCTTGGGGTCTTTGATATAGAGTATCATGGCATCTGCAAATAATGACAGTTTAACTTCTTCCTTTCCTATTTGATTCTTTTTTTTTTCCTTTCTCTTCTTTCTCTTGTCTAATAGCTGTGGCTAATGTTTCCAGAACATTCAATATAGGACAGGAGTGGTGATAGTGGACATCCTTGACCTATACCTGATTATATCATGAAAGATTTCAGTTTTTGACCATTCAGTATGTAAATTCTGTGCCTCAATCCAACCTATTGCTTTTTTTGAACATATGCTTAGAACATGACATAAAATATTTGAGGCATTTTATAGGATATTGTCATCAGTACAGACTGAAGATTTACTTGAGATTGGGGCAGCTGCACGAAGAGATGTAGAATCATGGAAATGTCTGAACATGTGTTCAGTTTTAGTCACTCAGCTCAGCCATGGGCACTAGTGTGACTGTCCTCAAGCCTTGAGCTTGCACGTTTTGTAGCTGTCCTAGGTACCTAGTCATTCCTCAGCCCTCAGGGTAGCCTACATTTACAGCAAAATACACCACAGTGGCCCTGTACCAGTATATGTATTTATTTAAAATGAAGAAAAAACACACTATAGAAGCT